GTACCGCAAAAAAAAAAAAAAAAAAATGTAAAAAAAGTTACCACAACAATCATTTGTTAAAGGACCCAGACAATTATTTCAATCTTAAGTGCCCCTTCAAGTTGCACTTCAAACATGATGTAGTCAAAAAATGACTTAACTATCTACTACATAATTCTTCAAATTTTCTAGTATGCTATTTCAGAAGAAATGATCCATGCAATGGCTCATGGTCACACTGAATATCCATAGAGAACTCAATCAATAAAAACTCAAAAAGTAACTAGTTTGTGATCAGCTTATTTATACTTTCTAATAGCAGGACACTAAAAGAAAGACCCCAGAGAAATATGAGATAACTTGGAATTAACTCTTAATTACCCATTTGGCTGGAAAAGAATGTCACTGGGTGACAGTTTTAGGGTCTCTGGGAGGTTCCAAGTATTATTACTAATTTACATGTTCAACATGTATATTTTTTACAGCTAAGTTTATTTAATTAACTAAGAATGCTAATTTTTCCTCAATTACATTTTCATTCAATCATTTCTTAAGAAACCACACACCACTAAAGAAAATATCTTCCTTGGTATATTTAGGTTTTATCTTTTTACTTAAGAAACTGATAGTATCTAGAGTGCATTGCATTTTTTTAAACATTACTTCTATGTGTTATATAATCATTCAACAGGTATGTTGGAATATATGTCCTCAAAAGGTCGATGGTACAGTCTGGGCTCAGATGACTGAACACTGTTGGAGAAAAAAATCACACACCAGACTAAATGGTTGCCACTCAACTCATGAGACATAGTTCTGTGTTTCTCTGGTCAACACACTCTCATTCTCTGTGACTATGCAAACCTCTTTTCCTTATCCTCAAATCTCTGACATCCACTTCCCACCAAATTCTCACCAGATGACTTTGCCTCCAATAAAGTCATCAGAAGGGAGCTTACCTGAGTTTCTAACACCACAAACTTACCTCTATCTACATTTCCTGATTCAAGAAAAGAAGGCTGTCCCTTCCCTATCTAAGGCTACATCTTTTAGCCACACATGTATCTCTTCCCCTCTGCCTCTTCCAGAACTTCACACTCTCTCCTCTCTCTTTAAACTCCAACTCTTCTCTTATCCACTGACACTTAACCATTTGCAAAGCTCTTTTTAAAAAATGATACCAGGGCTTCCCTGGTGGTGCAGTGGTTGAGAGTCCGCCTGCCGATGCAGGGGACACGGGTTCGTGCCCCAGTCCGGGAAGATGCCACATGCCGCGGAGCAGCTGGGCCCGTGAGCCATGGCCGCTAAGCCTGTGGGTCCAGAGCCTGTGCTCCGCAACGGAAGAGGCCACAACAGTGAGAGGCCCACGTACAGCAAAAAAAAACAAAACAAAAAATGATACCAAAAAAAAAATACAGAAACAGAAACAACAAACAAAACTAAAACAATCCTCACTAATCCTCATCTCCTCTTCCAAGTTCAATCTTTGGTCCTCTTGACAGCCAATATTTGACTGCTTTACTTCTCATACCAAATAAACAGTGGTTTCCACCACACAACAACAAACTGCTCTGCCAAGTTCTAAAATAACCTGCAAATTCCTAAATCCTATGGGTACTTTTCACTCATTATCTTGCACATTCCTCAAACAACCTTTGACGTTTTTGACTCCTTTCACCTTCTGAAACCTGCCCTTCCTTTAGCTTCCAAAGACCAGACTCCAGATTTTCTTCCTAACTCACTGATCTCTCCTCTCTGTCTCCTTGCCGGGTCTTCATTCTGAATCTATCCTTTGGATGTTCAATCCCAAGCCTAGGCTCTTCTCTCACTATACACTTAAACACATATACATTAACCTACCTGACAGAAATAAAAGCACTAGCTCGGTTCTGCACCTGAGGTAAAAGCTTAGAAAAAGGTAAAGGAAAACACGTAAATAATAAAGTACAGCACATTCATAGCATGGAATATATGCAGCCACCCTGTTATAGGCCAAAACCAACATGACAGAATATTATTTTTAAATAGCTAATTTACAAAAGTCTTTTCCCATTCTGACCTTCTTCAAAAGACAAACAGCCTGAATCAGAGTAAAACAACAAAGCACTGCAAACCTTTTCAGTGGGTCTCTGCCACCACTAATGATTCAGTGGGAAATTGAGAGGCAGATAAAAAAGGAGCACAGAAGAGTCAATCTGAATACAAGAAAAGTTAACTAACAACTGCCAGAGTCTGTTTTATGAAATCCTAGGTACTACTCTAAACTCTCTTCTCCTTCACCACCTGTATGTAATCATCACCCAAGTCTTGTCCACTCTTTTTCCTGCACACCTCTTAAATGTATCTACTTCTTTTCATCCCCAAGGTCACAATCCCAGTTCTGGCCACCATCATCTCATGGTTGAATGTCTCCTTGCATCCACTCTTGCCCCTTCTCCAAGAAGTATCTTTTTTAAAGCCAAAATTTGTCACATCATTCTGTTACGTAAAAGCCCCCAGCGGCTTCCCATCACTCTAAGCAACAAAGTCTAAACTCCTTAAAATGCCTTATAACACTCTCCTCATTGGATATGCATAACTCTCCTGCCTCATCTCTTACCATTCTTCCTCTTGATCTTGTATTCTAGCCATACGGACCTCTCAATTCTGAATCGTACTAATGCTATTCCCTCTCCAGGTGCACTGCTTTCCCTCCTCTTGGCCCCATCCCAGTCCTCACACCTGGCTCACTCCTATTCTTTACTCTTTACGCCTCAGCTTAAATGATTTTCTTAGGGCAATCACCTTGACTCATTTATATGATCCATGTACTTCCTCTGTAACAGCAAAATATTGACCATCAACTGTTTAAAATCTGCATTCCCCATTAGATCACAAGGTCTCTGAAAGTTTGTCTTCAATACTGTACACCAGTATTGAAGACAATACTGTTTAGCAGAAAGTACTTTCCGTTTAGCAGAAAGTTCAGCACCAAGTAGGTATTCAACACGTACTTGTTGAAGAAATAAAGACTGATGCAGAAATAACTATATTTAACAACAATGCCAATCAGTTATGGGACACGAATTCATATACAAGGAGTAAAGAAGTTGTCTAATTGGTTTGCTTCTCTCTCGGCCTTATGCCAGGCTTCAATTAATTCATCCAAATTCCTCCAAACCAACAAGTTCTCTTTCATGTCCTACTTCTAGGGAATCCAAAGCACACTATATCACGTGCAACGTCTTTAGACTCAGAAACTATTTCCGTCCCATCTAGGTGAAGTGTCAAAAGCTGAAAGAACATACTAAGCACCCAGGGTAGGGGAATTCCAGTGCTTCGGTTCTATGAATTCATGATAACTCTTTGGACCCATCCCATACAAGGAGAATGGCACCTCGAATACTAAATCCCTCAGCAATAGGGCAGCAATAACAATTCTTCTTCCATTCTGCCTCCTCCTAGCAAGATGTGGGAGGCCCAAGAAGAAGCCTCGCTGTTGTCGACCATAACCCAGCTGAGTGGGGAACTGCTGGGGGATACGGAGAGGCGCCCCGCCTTCCATCCTCCACCCCACACCATCAACTTCTCTCCGGGCAGGTATCCCTACCTCCGCCCCGGGAGGCCGGCTAGGCGGAGCTTGGGGCCCGCACCACTCTGAGCCCTGGGCGGTGACTGTGCCTAGGTCTCACCGCCTCGCCAGTGACCCACTCGCCCACCTACCTGACTCGGCCGCTGCTACCAACGCTCTCTCAACCCTCGGAGTCGGCGCTGGGGCCAGCACGGTAAAGGGAGGGCCCTTGCGGCTGAGCCTGCGACTCGGAGCGGGTAGGCGGGACTCCAGGAGAGTCGAGGGCCAGAGGCCGCACGCTCTAGCACAGGCCAGTCTCGTCGGAAACTTTCTCTACTACTGGCCCGGCTACAGCCGCCATATTCCCGTCGCCGGATCCGCGACGGTACGGAACGCCGCCGGGGTCAAGCCGCACGACGCGCTTCCTCCCTGAGAGCCGGCCCAGGCCCTGCCCCCCCTCCCCGCCCAAACCCTCCGAGCCGCCGCGGACCCAGGTGCGTTCGGCGCTGCGCGAGCGCAAACGGCCCCACCTGGGGTACAAGCTGTCGCCTTCCTGGACCTGGAATGGGCGGCGAACAGGGAGCTGGAAGACCACGAAGGATCAGGCCGACCGTGTCCATCAAGCCTCTAGGCCGCCACCTCGGGCTTGACCGAGACCGGGGCAAAGCGGCCGGGCCGGCCGGCCACACAAGAACAGTAAATACTGCAGGAGGCGTTGCTGCTCTTTAATACCTATCGCATAATATATGGCTTTGTGTCCACTGACCAGCTAAAAGCTCAAGCTCCTTAGGTTCGCCTTCAAAGCCCTCCTCGCCTCCTTTTCTAATTAAGAGTCCCTTTCATAAACCGCCTGGGTCTTTACTCCGCCGACAACGCTAAGCTCCCCTAGCCCTGACCCATTCCCCTCCCCCCCACCCCCGCCCGTCCCTTACACGTTCACCGGCCCTGCATCCTGAGGGCCCTTCACATTCCAGGGCTAATTCTTCTTTGTATCTGAACGCACTGAATAAACATAAGGGGATATTACTCGGCAGCGTTTCACAACAGCTGTGGAGCTGATGATTTTGGGGTTTGAATTCTGGTTTCTCCCCTTCCTATGTGCCACCTAGGTTTCTCCATCTAAGAAATGGTAACAAAACCTTCCTTGCAAAGGAAGGAAACCTTCCTTCCATGTTGTGAATATTCAGTAAAACATTTTTTTTTTCTGGCATCATAAGGTAGGCCCTCAAAAAGTATGAATTCCCCTTCCCTCTCCAGGAAGCCCTTCCTGCCTGCCAGCATTCTGTCCCTACCATAATTTTCTACTGTTCATAGCACTTAGCGAGGTCAGTCTCTATGAACCCCAGTTCCCTCATATGTAACTAGAATGCTAATAACACCTACCTTACAGGGTTGTTGTAGGGATTAAATAAGATGATGTACGTAAAAATTACCTTAAAACCTTTACATGATTTATCCCCTTTAGGATAAAGCAAAACAACAGACTATACAGCAGCTTGACCTCCAACTGAAACAGTAGGGAAGGGGGCAGGGCACAACCTTTAAAAGAATGACATAGCCATAGGACATGACAGAAACTGGTTAGAACCAACTAGGTCCAAGATGGCGGAAGATTTGACTTCCAGTGGACCTTGAGCCTCATTATATGCTCATTGTAATACATCAGCGGGCTAAATGACACACCCACAGGTGCCATGACAGTTCTGAGGTCAACCATAAAAGGTCAAAAAGTGGGCCGTGGCCCAATTCCTGGAAATCTCCACCCCTTCCCCAAAATAACTGGAATAATTCTTCCACTAACTAGCCTTTGAAATTACCCAGCCCATAAAAACTAACCACCCCATATTTCGGGGCCTCTCGCCTTCTGAGGTGACCCACACTCTTTACCTTCTGAGATGGCCCACACTCTTTCTGTGGAGTGTGTTTCTCTCTAAGTAAATTCACTTCTTACCTATCACTTTGTCTCTCACTGAATTCTTTCTGCAAGGAGACATCAAGAACCTGAGCTTCTTTAAGTCCTGAGACCAGGTGTGTGATCTCAACTAAAAGACCGTGGGTTCAGGTCCCAATCTGGGTTCCGGCTGGGTTGAAGTCCCAATCTGAGTTGCATGATTTCACCACCACACTCCCCCAACTCTGCACCCTAGCCTGCTTCCATTTCCTCAGACGCAGGGACATGTCCAGTTTTGCTCACCATTAAATAGGCCTACGTGGTGCCTGATATATGGTTGGTACTTAAATATTTGTTAAATGAAATAATAGAACAGAGTAGGTCCTCTCCTCCCACTTATTTTCTATTAGTGTCTTCTATATACTTATTCTATTTCCCCTAACAGAGTATGAATTTCTTCATTTTCATTTCATAGATGGTGAGGGGTTGGAGTGGACAGCACGTCTATAAGTGATGAAGCACCCTCAGACTCAGATTCCTCATTTGTAAATGAAAATTTTGTGTTTGATTCTCTCCAGATTCCTGTCTAACTCTAAATTCAATCAGTACCCAGCTCCCAAATCTGTAACTCTGTTTCTCTGGGGAATACAGCGTCACATTTCCAACTACCTTCTAGATGTTTCTACTTGAATATATTGTCCTCACTTCTAATTCAACTTGCCTTTAATGGATTCCCACCACCTGAACCCTGTTTCCATGTGTGGTGAATTCTCCCCTGTTGACTGAAAAAAATGCACAACGTAAAAGTTGAGAATTATGTTTTATCTGGCAGACAAAACAGAGGACTTAAGCCCAGGACACAGTCTCAGATTGCTCTGAGAGACTGCTCCAAAGAGGTAAGGGAAAAGCCTCTATATATAGGAGTTTTCACAACAAAGACCAAGTAATCGGAATTTCAAAAGATTAGTGTTAATTAAAGAAAACCAGACATCTCAAGTTAATGAATTTAACACTTTTCTATGTATGGGAAGATGCAATAGTCTGGGCTTACTGAAATCATTTCTTTGATATGTACATCAGCTACCTTGAGCCAGTATCCTGTGTTTTCCCATCCTGAGTCTCCTCAGGTCTCACCTTCCGGGGTGGGGAGGGACCTGTAATTTGATGGCTGCAACATTCTTTGTTTACTGACATGGCAGCCAACATTTGTCACTCACACCCCCCAACCTTACAAGTCTAGTAGCTGAAACTGAAATGCCAAGTATTTACTCAACCAATCATGAGCACCAGCTGGAAGCTATTGACTCAAAAAAGCAGGCACAGAAAGCTATGCTCCCTGGGTAACTGCAGGAATG